AGTGACATAGCCACCAAGTGTAACCCCAGCTGAAAAGCCAGGCCCCTGTCTGCGGAAGACCAGGTTGATTTCCTCCCTTGCTTGTAATGGAGGGGAAAGTTCCAGTAGCAGCACTGAGAAGTGATCAGCGGAAGAAGAATCTGCAGACCTCCCAACAAAGCCTACAGAGATCTCCAAGTTTGGATTTGCCATAGGTAGTGACGACAAAGAAAGCATCATCCATATCCATCGAACTTGGATCAAGTAAGCCTAAGGAAACTGTTCCAACTCTCACCATGCTTGCCTTGGCCTGCCCAGCTCCAAATGCCCAGCCCTCACCCCTTTCTCACCCTCCCTTCACCCCATACCTTGTTGTTCCTCAGACACTGCAAGTATACTCCCATCTTAGGCTCCCTGTGCGTACCTAATCCCCCAGTCCCCATTCTTCATCCTCTTAACTGCATGGTTACCTCTCTATTTTCTCCAAATCTCTGCTCCAATGTCACCTTTCCTGAGAGGTCTCCTCATCAGCCCTCATAGAATATCACCCTCATGGTTCCCAGTAGTTCTTACACTACCTGACTTATTTCTGTCTGTTTACTTTCTGTCTCTCTTCCATGAGAGTAGGGCCTTTGTCCATTTTGTTCTCTACTGTATTCCTAGGCACTGTAGAGTGTCTGGCATGCAGTCTGTCCTCAGTGAACACTGGCTGAATAAATGGTGGAAGAATCAAATCCCTTTTCTGCTCTTCCTAACAGAATTGATATTCCCAGCCATGAGGTTGGGTGAGGTTTCCCCACCTCTGGGTGCTGGGAAAGAGTGGGAAAGCAGACTGTGATGGCTGGGAAGTCGTATTCTCTTAGCAGCAGTCCCGGTTCCAGAATGTGCACCTCCCCATGCCCAAGTTGAACAGCACAGGCAGTGGTTGGGTCAGGACTGGGAAGGTGGCCTATGTCAGTCCAGTCCAGCTAAAGCTCCTTTTGCTTGATGATTAGGGAACGGGAAGGTCTCTGGTCTCTGGGTGGGCATAGTGAGACCTGGTAAGAGTAGTATAGCTGCAGGTACTTTGCTAAGAGGAGAAACCCCAGCTTGAAAATGTTGTCAAAAGTTGAACCAACAGCATCATAGACACAGACAGCCAGAACCTTTACCGCAGTGTCAGACTCGCCTAATTCTGCTGGATCTCTACAGCTTCTGGACTCCTTGTTTTGTGAATGAATGGATTCCTATGTTGTTTAAATCAGCTTGAGGTCGGTTTTCCTTTTTTGTGCATTTTGAAGCATCCTAATTGGTACACTGCTCTTAAAGTGCTACCATGCCCTGGTAATGTTTGAAGAAGACCTTCACAAATTAGAATATTTGTTCATTGTTAAATGGGTAAATTCACTCATCAAATATTTATGGAGTACCATACACATACTTTAGAGAATGAACAAAATTATTAGGGATAGAAAACCTACCTTGTTCAAGGAAAAATGATAAGAAATGGGGAGTATTTGACCTCAAGGAGAGAAGACTCAGAAAGGCCATGATGACATCTTCATGATGAATGTAGATGCAGTGCCCCAGGGCTTTACATGCCTTTCTCCACTGGTTCATTCCAACAACCATATGATACAGACACTATTTTACAAAGGATGAAAACAAGACTTGATAAGATTACATTAAGTTTCATATGTTTGAAGGGTGTGATGTGTTAAGATACAGATTTAGCTAGGAACTGCTGGAATACATGATTATCCTAACTCTGTTTTGGATGCCAACCCCTTCTCCTATGGTACCAGAGGGAAATATATTCACAGAGAATGCAAGGCAAGGCAAATCATGCAATTGGCTCAGGCGTCAGCTTCGAACATTACATTTCCTTTAAAAAAAACACTAAGACTGGCCTGAATGGTCTAGGATCAAGACAAGACAGAGGGCCTCTTCTGGTCCCTTCTGTTCCAACCTCCAAACACTTAACATAGACCTTATCACTCCAATGGGAAGAGAGGATGCCCATGCCAACCCAAACCATATGGGGAGAACAATGCATGAATAAAAGATACATGTGTGTGTCTAAATCATCTGCTTCCACTCCCCTGTCAAGTTTTCAGATGAGATCATAGCCCTGATCAACAGTAGAACTGCAACCTCATGAGAGACCTTGAGCCAGAGGTATCTAGCTAAGCCGTGCAGGGATTCCTGGCCCCCATAAACTGTGAGATAATAAATGTTTGCTGTTTTTTAGCTATCAAGTTTCGGGGATAATTTGTACACAGCATTAGATAACAAACACAAATTGGTACATTATGTCAATTTAGGTTATTTCCAAATTATAATCTAACATTAAACATCTTTGTACATATATTTTTTGTGTACTTCTGAAAGTAATTGTGTAAGATAAATTATTAGACATGGAATTGTTTACTCCCATTTTGAATTATAATAAGTAGAGTCAAATTACTGCCCCCAAAAAGATTACATACCTGTTATACTCCCATTGAAATTTTCTGAGAGTGCCTTTTGCCCTATAGCCTTGCCAGTAACAAGTACTACGGATCTTTATCACTTATCAATTTGAAGTAAAAAAAAATAGATATCATGTATCGATTGCTTGCCCCATGCCAAGCAGTGCCCCAGGGCTTTACATGCCTTTGTCCACTGGATCATTCCAACCACCATGTGATACAGACACTATTATTACAGACATCCATTTTACAAAGGATGAAAACAAGACTTGATAAGATTACATGATACCTAAGCAGTAGAATAGACAGACTCAGGCAGTCTGACTTCAGAATCTGAGCTTTCATGACTGGTAAGACTGAGCTAGTCTCAAGCGACCAATAAGCCTGTTAGTAACCCTTCCTCTGTGAATTGCACACTCACATTCTTTCCTCTTGTGCTGAATGTCCTGTTTGCTGCTTCACATTCACTCTCTCTCTTTTGCACCTTGCTCTTTCCTACAAGTGTGACCTCTCTGGGATTCCTCTGTGTGGTGCCTGTGCCCTTGGGCTCCCAGCTGAGCTTGGCCAGTAGAAAGCCTGGCAGAAGACTGGAGGTAGGAAGGAATTCAGTTTAAAGTATTTATTTCCTTTGGTTCCTCCCTGTGAGAAGGATGGAACAAAGCTCATTGATCTTCTGACAGGATCCTCTCTCCCTCTGAGCTCTTGTAACCTTTCCTGCCTCTTATCTTTTCAGATCAAGAAGTGATCAATGGGGCTGCTGCCTGGAGAGACCATGTAACTGCACTGTCTTAGGTAGTTTCATAAAATCACAACTAGATACTTTCTTTGTAAGTAGACTCTCTCTGGTTTATCTTGGGGCATATACTATCATTTTAAATTTTTTTGTGTGTTGACCTTCCTAACTGAATTGTAGACACTCCCCCTCTACATTAGGGCACCACCCTTTGTTCATCAGTTGTCATGGGAACATTTCCCTCAGCTTGCTGCTTTCTAGTTTTGTTTTAATATGGCTTTTGTATAGGTTTACTTGAGTGAGGTCTGCTCAATCAAGACTCCAGAGTCTTGATTGAGCAGACCTCAAGACTCAAGGTCACTCAAATGTGATCTTGAGTTTGAAAACTACACAGCAACTGCCCCCTCTCTTCTCTTTGGAGTGGAGTGAAATTATGGCCCAAATATCAGCTTCCCCTCCATAAAAGGTTACCTTCCTCTCTAAGTATTTGGAAAGATTCCGCTTGTGTTCCAGAGATGCCTACTGGGAGCTGTTCTTCAATTTCATGTGTGTCTTCCTCTGTCCCCTCTGCTGCAGAGCTCTGGTTATCTCACAGCTGCTACCTGCCTGGAGTTCCTAGGCATAATCCTCCCCCGCAGAGGGCCCTTCAACTGGGCACCCGTTGAACTGAGTCTGGGGAAAAACCACACTTTGTTTATTATATGCTCCCTTCATTTTCTGTAATACCATCACCCACTTTGAGGGGGTAGGGAGAGGGTGGATTGCCATTGAGTTGAAGGGAATTATAACAAAGGGTGGTGGAGGAAGGGGACTAAAACTGAGGGTAAATGTGATTTTTCCAGAAGGCATTCAGGAAGGGAAATTATTTCATAGGAAGTGCTTCACGGGTATGCCATGTTCGCTAAGATCACTTTCTATCCTTTGATCTTTCTTCCAACCTTCTTCTAACCACACTCTCAAAGAAACTCTGCTACTTGTCCACAAGGGTTAGTCTTATTCTAAGATTACTTCCCTAACCGCAGCAGTACCTTTTCCTTAGAATAATGAAGGGCAGAGGAGCTCTTTCTGCGCACACTGGTGGAGTGAATAGTTGCCTTTGCAAGTCTCCCAGAGCTGTGTGGGGAGAGGGTTCAATACTTCAAACCCTACAGAGGAGTCTGGAGTGGACAGCGTTGGTCCAGTCCCCTTTGAAGTATTCTGACCCACATAAGCTATACATGTTTCTATTACTGAGTGTGTTAATATCTTTCCCTAATCTCATGCTTTCAGACTGTGTCCTCTCAGGCCTCACCAAATGAGAAATGGACCCCATCCACATGAACACTGTCTGAACCACCCTGCAGCCACTTCTTGTGAAATGATGGGATGCTGTTTTTAACTAAAGACTACCTTTGCCCTCAGTGTGGGGAAAAATGAGAGAGAAAGGGTGGGTTACGTATGTTTTGGAGGAGGGGAAGGGGAGCCAAAAGGGAGAGGCACATTTTACTTCACCCAAAAGGACAATGGGATCAACAAGTCAGATCCGAGGGCCTTGCTAGACATCAGAGTGGGACAGGGCACTGGGAAGATGCAAGCTCTGTGTCCTTGGAAGTGCATGATTAGAAGAGTATCATAGAAAGGTTGACATAGAAAGGACTCCTGCCTTTTAAGAGAAAACTCAATGCCTTTCTCTTTACCTGGCCTTTAAGTCAGTCTGTAGTATTTAAGAATACAAGTGTGAAGTTCAAGTTGGATTTAGCTGACTTGTGAGGGAGGGAAAAACGATAAAGATAAGAGGGTTAGGGATCTGGAAGTGAGAAAGACACAAAACAGGCCATACCACACTGGCTTTTTTTTTTTTTAATTCTTCAGCTGACAGCAGAAGAGGTGATTTATTGTATGGTTGTTACACTTGGCCACAAGCAAACACAGAAATAGTCCAGACTGTCACAGGTCCAGGGCAAAAGAACAACATGGGCAGTCCTGGTTATGAGCAAGGTGGGTCTCAGAGGTGACTGGCGATCAGATGGCAATGAAGTTCTAGATCCACTGAAACAAGCTCTAGACAGTAGCGTGCAGTCTCACAACTTGTACCAGCATCCTCGGTGTCTGGCATCCCATGTTTCTGCTCCCGTGGCCTCCACGGTGCAACAAGTAGCGGTTACTTGGACCTCTGCCTCATCTTTCTTCTTTTGTGCTTTAGCCTGCGCATTCGCTTCTTCCTCCACTTGGCTCTCATGGTGCAGAGGTTTCTATGGGGAAAGAGAGAAAGGCTACAGTTAGTTTGCTGTGATAATGGTAAGTGCAGGGGTCAGATGTCAATCATGCCACACTGTTGAAGGGAGAAGCTGTTGTTATGGGGGTGTGTGTGTGTGTGTGTTGTGTATATGTTGCCTAAGACAGATGTTGGTAGGTGGGGCTGGGTAAAAAGACTACTGAGAGATGACTAGCTAGAGAGAAGGAAAGGGCCTTGTTGTTAGAGCAAGGTCCAGAGAATAAGCCCCCAAACAAGCTGGGGAAGCCATGGATGTGTAGAATCTGTGACCACTCTGGGAAGGGAGACTGACTGCCAGCAACCCGGGCACTCAGGCCCAGAGAACAGAGGAAAGTCCAGAGGGAGTTAGTCCATAAAAGGCTATAAAAATGACCTCACCAAGGAGGAGGACATTTATCACAGGGACTGGAGAGAGACAGTGCATTTTGTAGAATCAGCTATTAAGGTTTAATTTATATCCAATAAAAGTCACAGGAGGGGAAGAGGGAATGGAAGAGTTATTACTTAATGGGCACACAGCTTCTGTTTGGGGTGATAAAAGAGTTATGGAAATAGAGAGTGGTTGCACAACATTATAATAGTCATTAATCCAACTGAACTATACACTTCATGGTTAAAATGGCAAATTTTATGCTATATGTATTTTAACATGATAAAAAGTCACCAAATAATCAAAACATAGAAAATATTCATTATCCTCAAAAGTTTCCCTGTGCTACTTAACAGTCAATACTTTCCCCATGCCTGGCAGACACCAGTCTACCTTTTGTCATTTTAGTTCTGCTTTTTCTAGAATTTCATATAAATATCATAAAGTATGTAGTTCTTTCTGTCTGGCCTCTTCACTGAACATAATTCATCCATGCTGTTGGGTTAATCCGTAGTTTGTTTGTAATTGTTAAGTGGTATTTCATTGTAAGGATGTACCACAGTTTGTTTATCCATTTCCAAAAAATGGACATTTGATTTGGATGACTAAGTTTTTGTTTTTGTTTTGTTTTGTTTTTTGAGATGGAGTCTTGCTCTGTCACCCAGGTTGGAGTGCAATGGCACGATCTTAGCTCACTGCAACTTCCACCTCCCAGGTTCAAGCTATCCTTCTGCCTCAGCCTCCCGAGTAGCTGGGATTATATGCACCCACATGACACCTGGCTAATTTTTGTATTTTTAGTAGAGATGGGGTTTCACCATATTAGTTAAGCTAGTCTTGAACTCCTGACCTTAGGTGATCCACTGCCTTGGCTTCCCAAAGGGCTGGGATTACAGGTGTAGACTACTGCACCCAGCCTACTAAGTTTTTTTTTTTTTTTTAAGCCAGTCTGGATTAAATGCCAGGCTGCCAAGGAGGGAGGTCTTACTGTTACACAAGGATGAGGTACAAATGCTGGCTATGGACAGATATGAATAAGGGCCCATAGACCAGCCCTATGTGTTTTCTTATGACAACCTAACATCTTGAACCATGGTCTGCAGAGAACCTCCGGATCTCAGATTTTCCTGTTCACGGTTCTCAGATTTTATTCTGTGAGCCATGCCCATGTGGGGAGCACTGTGACTGAGAACCTAAGTTGAAAGTCTCCAGGAACACTGTGGAGCAGCAAAGACATTCTCCTTTTGTGCCTTGCTTTCTACATAACTTACATGGCAGTTGCATGGGGATCCAAGATGGACCAACAGAAGCTTCATATAACATACCATACTACAATATATTTAACATAATATAATTTATTATACACTGTGTCATATAATTTAATATAAAATATATAGTCATATCACATGCCTGCAAACCTGATGCTCTTATACTTGCATAAGAAAAAAAAAAATGGGCCGAGCGCCGTGGCTCACACCTGTAATCCCAACACTTTGGGAGGCTGAGGTGGGCAGATCACAAGGTCAGGAGGTCGAGACAGTCCTGGGCAACATGCTGAAACCCCGTCTCTACTAAAAATACAAAACTTAGCTGGGCGTGGTGGCACGTGCCTGTAGTCCCAGCTACGCAGGAGACTGAGGCAGGAGAATCGCTTGAACCTGGGAGGTGGAGATTGCAGTGAACTGAGATTGCATCACTGTTCTTCAGCCTGGTGACAGAGTGAGACTCCATCTCAAAAAGAAAAAAAAAATCATGGCGGGAAATAGCGGCTCACACCTGTAATCTCAGCACTTTGGGAGGCTGAGGCGGACAGATCATGAGGTCAGGAGTTTAAGACCATCCTGGCCAACACGGTGAAATCCCGTCTCTACTAGAAATATGAAAATTAGCTGGGTGTGGTGGTGCATGCCTGTAATCCCAGCTACTTGGGAGGTTGAGGCAGGAGAATAGCTTGAATCCAGGAGGTGGAGGTTGCAGTGAGTCGAGATTGCGCCACTGCACTCAAGCCTGGGACAGAGTGAGACTCTGTCTCAAAAAAAAAAAAGTATATGTTTAGAGTTATCATTTATTCAAAATGAATCTTTTCCTTTTCCTTCCTCCATAAAGGATTCTCTCCCCTGGCTTTGGTGCCTCAGAATATATCTTCAGACTCTACTACAGGCACCTTGCCTTTAGGAGTCTAGTATCTGGTTTTAGAATTTTGTTGACACACCTCACTCTTAATCCCACCTCCTAACCTGTGCTTTGAGCTTCATGTTTTAGACTACGCTTGTTTCCCCTGAGTGACCCTGGGTGAGAGGAAGGACAGTTAGCTTCTTGCCTATTCCTGACGCATGGGCCACAGGCCCCAAATGGCAAGCCTGGTCACCTTGCAGATTTTCTCCTGGGTCTTTGGTGAGAGGCTGGTGGTATTTAATGAGAGACTTCTCAGCCTCAGGCTTTAGCTGTACCTTCCAGTGGCCCCAGGTGGCCTTGAGCACACAATGATGAATGCTCAAGGCCTCTGCCCAGCCATTTCCTGTTGCCCTGCATCCCCCAACCTCTGGTGGCCAGAGGAAACTACCCACCCTGGTCTGGGCTGTTGCTCCTATGAACATTCACTAACAGTGCTTTTAGTTTCCTTTCTCCTACAGATGTGCTCAAATCAAGATATGAAATCCAGACTAGGAGGAAGGATGGCATAGGATTGGTGACCATGGCAGACATCTGTTGTTTTTCTCTCCCCAATACCAGTCTCACCCCCTTCTACTGTTAATGGCATTCTTTTCTTTGTAACTTTTATTTTAGGTTCAGGGGACACATGTGCAGGTTTGTTATATAGGTAAGTTTCATGTGATAGGGGTTTAGTATACAGATTATTTCATCATTCAAGTAATAAGCATAATACCTGATAGGTAGGTTTTTGATTCTCACCCTCCTCCCATGCTTCACTTTCAAGTAGGCCCTAGTATCTATGGTTCACTTCTTTCAATTGATGTGTACTCAATGTTTAGCTTCCTCGTATAAGTAAGAAAATGTGATATTTAGTTTTCTGTTCCTGCAGTAGTTCATTTAGGAACATCCGTGTTGCTGCAGAGGACATGATCCTCATCCAGGGCAGCACAGCAAGATCTCATCTCTAAAAACTTAGCCGGGTGCAATGGTGTGCACCTGTAATTCCAGAGGCTCTCAGTAGGCTGAGGAAGGAGGATTGCTTGAGCCCAGGAGCCCTACAGTGCAGTGAGTTATAATCACCTGGGTGATAGGGTGAGACCCTGTCTCTAAAAAAGAGGGAAAAAAACAGAGAGAGAGAGAGAGAGAAAGAGAGAGAGAGAGAGATGGCAAATTAACCTGATTCAAATAAGGTGACTGTTTCAAAGGGGAGGGGAGATGCTTTGAGCCCCCTACCGTTGAAGTAAATACTTGTCTTACATGCAAAACTGGCTTCCTGTATCTGGCCAGAAGACTATAGAGGAGTCCAGATGTTTTGGACTTCTAACAACAACAAAAATCTCACCAATAAAGACCTTTATAGTCTTCAGATATTACTCCTATTGAATTTTAGGAGTCATACATGTATAGCTTTACAGTCTTCAGATATTACTCCTAAAATTCAATAGGAGCAATATCTGAAGACCCCTGCTAAGCATTGATGGAGAAGAAATAATTTTTTCCTATTGATATCCTGAAACTTCTGTCTAAATATTTTAAAAATAATCAGGTCAAGGCTGGCTTAGAGGAGGAAGGCATTTCTAATTTAGGTGGGGTTCTAAAACAATCAGTTAAGTATAAACCCATGGATCAAAGTCTGATTTCCCCTAGACCTTGGTGTGGATGTCAGAAACAGAATCGCTCTGGGGCTCTACCTGTGCCTGCCATTTGGAGACGCCCCTGAAAGCACACTGCTCTGGGCAGAGAACTCCCTAAGAAAAGAGATGGTCCTTTGCTTCTGCACAGAGGCTAACATGGCCCCTGACGTTGTGTGCTGGTTACTAAATGTTGAACAAGTCACCAGAAACGGCATCTTCCCAAAAGTCTTGGAGGCCTTTGTCACTAAGGAAAGTGTGTGTGTGTGTGTGTGTGTGTGTGTGTGTGTGTGTGTGTTTTCCCTTTGAGATTGAGTTTCGCTCTGTTGCCGGGGCCGGAGTGCAATGGCGCGATCTTGGCCGCAACCTCCGCATTCCAGGTTCAAGCGATTCTCCTACCTCAGCCTTCAAAGTAGCTGGGATTACAGACACTCGCCACCATGGCAGGCTAATTTTTGTAGTTTTTTTTGTAGAGACAGGCATTCACCATACTGACTGATTTCAAGCTCCTGATCTCAGGTGATCCACGGGCCTTGGCCTCCCAAAGTGCTGGGTTTACAGCCCTGAGCCACCGCGCCCTACAGGAAAGTGGCTATTCTAAAAAGCAGGTTAAGAACGTGTTTCGCTGGGTCACATTATTCTGCGTGACCAGGCTCTCAGAGGAGAACCCCACCATTACTCTAAAGGCCTTTGAAAGCATCTCTGGAAAGAGCAGGGTTGGCTTCACCCGCTGCCCAACGTCTCTCCCGACTGCCTGTGCCAACTTCCGGTCCCTCACCTCATCGGAGTTCCGGTAAAACGCGGAGCTCCAGTTTTTCAGCCCCTCCTGGAGCTCCACGATGTCCACCACGCCGCCCCCTTTGTGGTCCAGGTCTTCGAAGAGGATCCCGTGGCGTAAGTAGTGGTCGTCATCCTGGCAGGCCACCGCCTCCAGCACGAAGCCCCGCAGCCAGTGCATGGTCGGGTCGGGAGGCTGCGGGGACCACTCGGCCCGCTCGCCCACACCGCGGCACTCGCCGTCGCCTCCTCCACGCCCCGCTGCGCAAGGCAGGAGGTCCTGGCCGTCCGTCGCTTCCGCAACTGCCTGGTGGAGCCTCAGCGGTTCGGAGCCCAAGCAGGCCAAGCCACCCGCTCCTGCGGGCTCTCGGGCGCCGCGGAGAGGACCCTAGGCAGAACCTTGGGGAGCCACCTTGTGGGACCCCTGGCCGAGACGCCACGCGACAGTTGAGGTGCCAGATGTGAGTTGAGGTGCCAGACGTGGCGGCGTTGGGTTCCCAGGACCGCTGCAGGGGCGGTCGACACGGGAGCCGAGGGACGTTTGGGGAAAAGGAGCGCATTCCCCAGGTGGCGTCGAAAGGGCACTCGCGGGTATAAGATTTTCCGGGTACAGACTCAGTGCCTGCCGGAAGTCACTGTGGCGGGAAATGAGACAGGGAGTGAGTTGCTCAGACCCCCTCTCCTGATGCCGGCATCCAGTACCCTGGTGCCACCCTTCCTCCCAGGAGGGCCTGCACCTGGGGGTCGGGACCCTGGCGACCCCGCAAAAGAGGTCTGAAGAGGTGAGGCCTCCTGAGGAGCCTCTGCCCTGTCCCTGTCTCTTCCCTCCTTAGCAGCCGAGCCCATACTGGGATTAGACTTTTCATGTTCTTATATAAATTTTTTCCAGTCAATTGAGTTGTATGCAGAAATACTTCTATCTCTATTAACAAACGAAAAATAAAAGTGAATAATAAATAAGATGCAGATTAAAATTAGAACATATCTCCTAATTCAGACATATGAAACACAATCATAACAGTTCCAATTTATATGCCACATTTCTATTCATAAATTTTGTTCTAAAATATAGAGAAAAAATAAATACCAAAATACTTTAAAGTAGATCTGAAGTATTCAAAATATTTTTCCGGTACGCATTTATTTTAAATCAGTCTCTGATGTGTACTATCTATAGGGCTATTGAAGGATCCAGTTGCTATTTATTTTTCCTCTATATTTTAGAATAGAAGTTCATATAAACAAACTTAATTTCTGATTGCTTTTTAATTATGAGGCATGGTAACACAACTAATTTCTCAAGATGTACTTTATATTAGTCACATTTATGTGAACTTTAGGAGTTGATTATAAGTTTAAAATTTCATTAATCCTATTAAGGAAAAAATGGAGAATCTGACTGAAAAATGACTTTTTGGTTACTCAAATTTATGTTAATTGTGCATTTATAGTCATTTCAATTTTTAGAAAATTTAACAACTTAGTTCCATCAATCGTTCATTAAGTACCCTCTCCCAAACTGAGAAAATTAAATTTCTCTAATTTCATAGCAAATTCAATCATGGCATTTAACAAGAGGAAAAAAGATTATATAAATTTTTTTGAGTTTTAACATTGTGAGAACAGATTTTAACTACATCTTAATAACTTTGAGAAGTATGATACAACCCCAAATACTAAAGTAACTCAAAATCTGTAATCTATAAAATGGCAGAAATATCTGTGTCCTGAAAAACTGGAAAAATGGACTCATCTAATGTAGTCCCCAGTTTCTTGATATATTATAATTTATAGTTCTATCCATTAAATCTCAGTTTTGGAACCTGTCTAATCTTTATAATGTAGCTCTACATAGACATCTTAAAATGTCTTTGGCCTATTCTCTCTCAACATAAGTTGAAAAGATAGAGGCAAAAAAAGGCTGGAAAGATATTCATCCTTCACCTAAGTTTAAGACTGTAAAGGGAAGTTCCAGTCAGCCTTTCTTTATTCCAGTAGATCAGAGTTTGAAAGTAAAGTATAAAGTACGTAGATTAAAAAAAAAGAAAAACTGAGTCTTTTTTGCCTTTTTTAACACAGATTTGAGTATAAGAGCTCACACATTTTTCTGAATTACTTTGGTCACATTGGTGATTTTCTGGTAATGTTTATAATGTTAAAAAAAAAAAGCTAAAAATGCCTGTATCGTTAAATAAGAGTGCTCAGAAAAGGAGTAAGAGGTCACCATTATTCCATTCACAACAGTGGTAGGAGACTGATGCATTCTGATGCCGTGAAATTCTATTTAGGACTTTCTATTTTGTTTTGTTTATTTTAGAGAAAGAAAAGGAGCCCAAATTCGAATGTTTTGCTATGAATTTTAATTTTAAATGCATGCGTTTTCTATCAGTGCTTTCAAACAGATTTAAAATATGCACATATGGCAAGGAGAGGTCAAAAATAAAAATAAATTTAAAATGCACATAAAGCACTAAAATGTTAGTTTTTAAAATACAAAGTAGAAAATTCAGAAAAGCTTCAAAATATTCCAACTCTTTACTATGAAATTATACTAGGTTAATTATATAATTAGGTTATATTCTGTATTATAAATTATGTTTAATCCACTTAAATGCAAATTTCTGACTGTTCATTAAAATTTGAAGAAATATAAATAGATTTATGAATATTAGAGATTTTAAATCACCAAGAAATCAATAAACTCTATTTCTGGCAGTCTGGCCATGATCTGCAACAGCCATTTTGCTGCGCTGTGGGGTATTTCACCCAGTCAAACCTCCTAGTCTCCTTAGCACTGTCAAGGGAAAACCTCCAACTAAAGCCTCACTAATGGCGGTTTCCTCTCCTCCTGGGAACTCAGTTGTCTTAGGTGGACTCCAGACTGCTGTGCTGGCAGCGGGCATTTCAAGCCAGCGGGTCTTATCTTGCAGGGCTCCGTGGGAGTGGAACCCTCTGAGCGACGCCGCTTGGCTCCCTGGCTACAGTTCCCTTTCCACAGGAGTGGACGTTTTTCCTGCCTCCCTGGTGTTCCAGGTGTTGCTGAAGTAAAAACTCTAGCTCAGCGCCTGCCCAAACGGCCTCGGACAGGTGCGGCTGCTGCTGTTCTGCCCAGTTTTGTGTTTGAGACCCAGGGCCCTGCTGGTGTAGGCTCAGGAGGGGAATATTCTGATCTGAGGATTGCAAAAATCCGTGGGAAAAGCTTAGTACCCTTGGTGGATATAACTGTCCCTCACCACTTCCCTTGGCTGGGGAGGGAGGTCCCGCTGCTTGTGCAGCTCCAGGGTGAAGCAGTACCCTCCTTCTCACTCTCTGTGGGTCATGTCAACCATCTAGTCAGTCCCAGGGAGATGAATTGGGTACCTCAGCTGGAAATGTAGAGATCACCCACCTTCCTCGTTCTTCTTGCTGGCAGCCACAGACCAGAGCTGCTTCTAGTGTGCCATCTTGACTCCTCACCACCAAGGTAAGTTTAATAAGTCTTCTAAATTTGTCCTTGCTATAATGATAAGTGATAATCTGTCTTTGTTTTTGTTGTTCTTCTTATTATTATACTTTAAGTTCTGGGTACACGTGCAGAACATGCAAGTGTGTTACGTAGGTATGCCAAGACCTGCTCGGTCTTAGAGACCCCAACCCAGGCAGCACTGAAGGAATTAAGAAGCAGAAACAAAGATGGAGTGCAAAAGTGGGATCAGAGTTGGGCCATCAGGGGTCTGACAGCATTTCCCAGCTGACAGCCCAGAGCAGACTCTGACCCACGTGTTTATTCTTTGTGAACAAGTGATTATTTTTAATAAGTGGGTGTTCAATGTTTCTTCATAGAATAAAGATACTCTAAACAGGCAGATAGTGCCTGTTCACTACTAAAATAGAAATAATCTAGGCTGGGCATGGTGGCTCACGCCTGTAATCCCAGCGCTTTGGGAGGCTGAGGCAGGCAGATCACGAGGTCAAGATATTGAGACCATCCTGGCCAACATGGTGAAACCCCGTCTCTAGTAAAAATACAAAAATTAGCGGGGTGTGGTGGCACGTGTCTGTAGTCCCAGCTACTTAGGAGGTTGAGGCAGGAGAATTGCTTGAACCTGGGGGCCAGAGGCTTTGATGAGCCAAGATCGTGCCACTGCACTCCAGCCTGACCACAGAGCAAGACTCCATCTCAAAAAAAAAAAAAAGAAAAAGAAAGAAATAATCTAGAAAGCACTCTTTTGCGAATTAGCAATGTGGAAAAGGTCAAATATGCTGTGTGTTGGGAACAGGTTTAACTAGAGCATGACCGGTACATATTGCTTACTTATTCTAGCAGTTTTTTGCCTGGGAATGATGGCTTGGTGTTCCTTGCCATCACTTCTCAGCAAACAATATATACTCCATCACACACACATCAAGACCTTCTCCCAACATAGACATACACGTGCCATGGTGGTTTGCTGCATCCATCAACCGGTCATCTACATTAGGTATTTCTCCTAATGCTATCCCTCCCCTATCCTCCCACCCCCTGCTATCCCTCCCCTAGTCCCCCTCCAACAGGCCCCCAGTGTGTGATGTTTCTCACCCTGTATCCATGTGTTCTCATTGTTCAACACCCACTTATGAGTGAGAACATGTGGTGTTTGAATGCTTTCCAGACTTCAAGACTCTCATCCACATCAAAAAAAAAAAAAATTATGTATTGACCATGTTATTAGGAATTTAGAATTTTGTGTTTTATCCTCTAATTATAGATCAAATAACTAAGATAGAAAGGAGTAAAGCAACTTCCATGTATGTAGTGAGTATGTTGGGGGATCTGGGACTAAAATTCTGCCTTGGTATTCCCAAGAGGCTGGTGATTATGATTTTTGTAGTCTTAGAAACAAAATAAAATGACATTCTTTTTTTTTTAACCTCTGCTTACCCTATACAATTCTCTAAACTACAAAATCTCTGCTTATTAAGATAACTTGTATTGCCCATTTGTTGAGCTCAGCAAATGCATTTACTGAGCCCTTGTGAGTAAAGCACTGTGCGGATTACACTGAGTAACTAGTGATACAGAGCAATGTAAATTCTACAAAAACACCTACAACAGCTTATCAGAAGGAAGCATGCTGAATACTGCAGTAACCTGCTAGGAAGCATTTAAGTAGATTCCCAGGATCTGTTAGTAAAAGGAATGTGGTTAACTGTTTGCTGAGACTCAGCACAGAAGGGACTGTGATGATGACCTGGCATATCAGGGAGATTTGTTCCATGGCTCAGGAAAGCAATCCTAGTGACTTCTCACAAGGCTCACCCTGGGGCCTTCTGGAAAGTTTCTCTCACAATACCTGTTATCACACCGAATATATGTATGTCCCTATGTAGATTTGGACACATGGTTGTGCATGTATGAATAGGATCAAGTTCATGTGACTGGTCTTCTCTTAATTTATTTGCAGAAAAGCAAAACAATCTAGAAGAGGTGAAAGGACAAGAGACAGTTGCTCCCAGGTAATTGAGAAAAATCAGGGGCTATCAATTCAGGGGTGATATCTGCAGAACTCATATCCACAGAAAACCAGAAATTCCTGAGTATAACTAATTCATCCTTTCAGCCAATCAGAAATGATCCTTTTTAACTATGTTTTACAGTTTCATTGTGATACTTGTATTGTTTGCCATTTCTTATTACCTTCTCAAGTTCAGTACATAAAACCAGTTGATGTTGTGAACAACTAATCCATCACAGAAGTTTCCTTAAAGCAGCTGTCTTCTTTTTATGGTTTACACCAGCTTAAGATGCATATCTGCTTTCTGCTGGCTTTTCATTAGCACAGTGCTGAGCATTTCAAGGCAAGGAAATTAGGTAGAAAAAATTATTATTATACTATGCACAATATTGAGAGAAAGAGGACTTGATGGCATGAGATTTGAGGGATATTGTAATGCCTCAGAAGCTGTTTACTTGGCCACTACATATAAAATTTAATACAATTTAAAAGAAAGGAATGAAGCAACTGTTATGGGCAATGATGTTCAGTAAGTCATGACTGTATCATACAGAGAGACTCGGCCTCTGTCCTCAGCAAATCGTAATCTGGCCACTTCACTGAGGACCTAATGCTTTTCTCTCTCATCGGTCTCTTTCTGTATCTCTGTATTGCAACCTACCCCATGGCAGCCACACTGTGACCCACCAAGAAGAGAATATTTAACTCTTTAATGGGTTGACCCATTTGTTTCTGTGATCACTCCCTCCTGCCTCACAGGAAATCCAGCTAGGGCTCTGAAACTCCTTGGATTAATCTTTAGTTATTCCTACTTGACAGACTCAGCAGGGGACCACTGAGGGTGGACAAACATGAAGTCCCCCAGGAGTCACCTGGGGGTGACATGGATGTTGTTTAACTCTTTCCATCCTTCCTGACCTGACTCACTCCTACCACCCTTATTGGAGCACTTTGTAATCTCTTGAAGGAAAGCAATTCAGCTTGGCTCTTGTAGACAGTGAGTACTCCACTGTGAACATAATAAATCTCCAATTGGTGTCCCAGGTAGACTCCACAATCTTTGTACCCTGTACCCCTGGCTGGACTGAGACATGTCATTCGTGTGGGCATGATTCACAGACATTGGATGATGTGCATCAGAACTGAAATTGAGTGGGAAGCACAGACACGGCTGGGTCAGTGAGTTTTGCTCTCTTCCTCAACTCAGACCATAGCTGTGTCACCCTGGGCCTACTGTCATGACACTGACAAATTCACACCAACATATGCAGAGCATGCCCAACAGGTGTCTGTCAGACCTCTTAATCTGAATAACATTTGTCTTGCCAGTAGTTATTGTGTTCTTTACAAGTTTCTTTCCCTAACCATGTCCCTTGAGGTTCTATGCCTGCCCAAGGCCAGTGGTAATTTTGCCTACCTTTCTGTTAAAGATGTTACCCAGGTTTCAATTAATCTAGCCTCATTCTCTGTGTCTCAGATGTTGGCCTTTTTAGCTGGGTAGTCCATTAGTTTTCATTATGTTTCTAGAAACAAGACTGGGCTTTGTCACTCCAAGATGCCACAAATAGCCAATGGCTCTTTGTAGCAACCAAAGATTCATTTTGATTCAAGGGTCTGTAGATTCCATCTTTCATTCTAATTTCAGTGTCTAAAATCCTTGCAACCATGAACAACATTGGCATTTGATGAGAGAAGACTGAATATTGCAGTTTTCCTTCTAGAAAGCAGTTGGGGTAATTGCTATAGATTGGTGTGAAAAATTTGCATAACTGTTTGCACAACATCAGGACAGATGATGTTGGGATAATAATCTACCAGAAGAGGGAGATTTCATTCTTAGGCTCAGGGAAGAAAACCAAGGCATCTCTATCATGACAGGACCTCAGGCATCCTGGAATCTTTCTCTCACAGTGTCCTATTCTTCAACTGAGGAAGCTGATGTTCCTATGTTAGGATGACACAGTGGATTGTTTACGTGTGTAGGGGAACCTGCTTTATGTGTCTGTCTCTCTCTGAATTTATTTATAGAAATTAAAAAGGATCAAGAGGAGGTAGAAGACCAAGACCCACCATGCCCCAGGTAACTCTGAGGAGTCACGGACAGTTTACTAATTCAGTGTTGATATCTGGAGACTCAGATACGGCGAAAATCAGAGCGTGCTGAATATCCCTGTTCCATCTGTTGAGCCAGTCGTGAAATGGCCATATTCATAATGTTGACTCTTTTCATTGTACATCTGTATTTGTATTTGTTCCTTATTAATTCTGTTCAATTGTACTAATCTGTATTCAGTTGACTCTGTTGAACTGATCAGTCACATACATTTTCTGCAGTCCCCTTTTCTGTCCTTTCTGCTTAAAGTGAAGTTAAGGTGCACATCTGATGTCTGCCTCTTTTGCATTACCATATTTGCGAGTATTTCATAGCAGGAAAGTAAAAAAAATAATGCATGTCATGCTCATAATGTTGAGAACTAGAGATGTTAAGGATATAGGAATTCTCTCTTTGAAGCCTCCAGAGCCTGCATTCACTTGCCATTGATGATAATTTCAACAAGATGTAAGCAAAAGTGCTGAATGCACTGTGTCCTGGCAGTTTCCCACAGGGATCACTCCATCTCATTCCTGCCCAGCTCATGGTCTGCTCAGTTCACTGAGCACCTGTTGCTCTCTGTCTCCTGCTCAAGACAGGGAAGGATGGTTGTATCTCTCTGAAGGGACTGTACTAGGCTTCCTCTGGTCCCTCCTGTGGTCCTCCCTATAAAACCGGCTGGGCGCAGTGGTGGTTTTGCTTCTCTCCTGTGTTTATCTTCTGTCTTCTTTACCCACTAGGCTAAGCCAGGAGCTGCCAGAGGTGAAGGAGCAGGAAGTCCCAGAGGACTCTATGAATGAAGTTTACTTGACTCCTTCAGTTCACCGTGACCTGTCTGACTGCCACCAGCCTTATAGCAGCACCTTGTCCCGACTAGAGGATCAGCTCACATGCTCTGTTCTGGATATAGTTTGTGAGTACTCCAGGCTGAAGGTCACAAAGCTCCACTGTCCTCTCAGGCAGCCTCCATATGTTTTGTTTCTGCAACTTGTGCAGCTGAGACAGACCACCAATGCAGGCAGTCCCTATACACTGAACCTGTTTTGAATCTGGCTCTTGGATCCAGTTTTAAGCACAGACATCCTGTGGGAGAAACTTCCTCTACTCCTGTCTAAAATGACTCCTCTGTCACCTTGCTCCTCACAAAAGCAGGCTGTGGGCATCAAAACAGGCCAGAGAGTGGAGGGGTGAGGGTTTATTGCAACTCCTTGGCCACAGTAGCTCATCTGGAGATATTTGTATAACAAACCATCTTCTGTAAGATAGGGTATCTTTCTTTTCTGAAATTATGTTGCTAATTGCATGCCTTGAAGAGTGCCCTTATATATTCTCTGGCCATCCACCCATGCAGGCAGTTTTGCCCAATTTTGGAGTCCTGTTTCATGATTCCTGTGTCTCATGCTAGATTCTCTACTTTAGATATCCCCAACTCTGGGGCCATGGACCATTATGGGTCAGACAGGTCACGGTGAACTGAAGGAGTCAAGTAAACTTCATTCATAGAGTCCTCTGGGACTTCCTGCTCCTTCACTTCTGGCAGCTCCTGGCTCAGGCTGGTGGGTAAAGAAGACAGAAGATAAACACCAGAGAACCAAAAGCACTGTGCAGGAGGTGAGCGCTGGGAGAGCATGACTGCCTGAATGCCACCTCCTGTCAGATCAGCAGTGGCATTAGATTCTCACAGGAGCTCGAACCCTATTGCGAATTGTGCATGTGAGGTATCTAGGTTGTGCACTAATCATGAGAATCTAATACCTGATGATCTGTCACTGTCTCCCAGTGACTGTCACCCCCAGATAGGAACACCTAGTTGCAGGAAAACAAGGTTTTTTTTCAGGGCTCTCACTGATTCTACATTTTGGTGGGTTGTATAATTATTTTATTAGATATTACAATGTAATAATTATAGAAATAAAGTGTGCAAAATATGTAATGTGCTTAAATCATCCCCAAACCATCCCCCCTGTCCTTGTCCCTGAAAAATTGTCTTCCATGAAACTGGACCCTGGTGCTAAAAAGGTTGGGAATTGCGGCTCTACTTGCTCCGAGGTGTCTTCCCTCCACTGATGCAGTCCAGTGTCCCTTCCTTTATGCATGTCCAGGCTTACATCCTCTGCAGAGCTCCAGTGGTTTTTCCATGTGTGCATTGGTAGTTTCAATCACGTGTTAGCCTCAGTGCTATATTCTCATGAAAACCATTGACAACTAATGTTTCTGATAAGTGCTGGCCTAACTGATAAGCAAAACAGAGTGATTTCTGTTCCCATGATGTCCAGAAAATACTCCCTCTGAAAAAGTGCCCCTTGCGGTAGCAACTTCATGGGATACATAGAAAAAAATCCCAATCTTCACGTCTTCTTGCTTATGTTAGTTTTTTAACTTCTGTTCTGGGAGTTTCCTATGGATGGTTGGGAGTTTCATCCATCAATTTATTTTCTAGTAAGGCCAGGTAACTCTGTGATGTTCCCCAGTATATCTGATTATGTTATAATAAAATTAACAATAATGCCAGGTGCGGTGGCTCATGCCTGTAATTCCAGCACTTTGAGAGGCTGAGGCAGGTGGATTGCTTGAGATCAGGAGCTTGACACCAGAGTGAGCCACATGATAAAAGCCAGTCTCTACAAAAAATTAGCCGGGTATGATGATACACACTTGTAGTCCCAGCTACTTAAAAGGCTGAGGTAAAAGAATCACCCAAGCCTGGGAAGTTGAGGCTGCAGTGAGCTGTGATTACACCACTGCATTCCAGCCTGAGCAACAAAGCAAGACCCTGTCTCCAAAAAAAAAAAAAGAAAAAGAAAAGAAAAAGTAGCAACAAAAATGTTGGCCTTTATCCTATTTTGTTCAGTAAGTGCATTTCCTGTTGAGACCATTCCCTTTCCCCTTTTCCATTTCTCCATGAGTTTCAAAGAAGGAAACTCTTTTCTAGAATCACAGCAATTCATTAATCAGAAATAAAATACACATTGACCTTGCATCTGCCGTCTGCCCTGCTCCCTGCCAAAGAAGCTCTTTCCTACTATAATGCATTCAGTGCTCAAAGGACACTCCCAAGTGGGCAGTGGTTCTGTGAAAGAGCTGAAGACGCTGAGGCTTGGAAAGTTTCCTTCACTTGTCCAGGATGCCCCATGTCTGCCTGACTCCATGGCCCAGTCACTGTCATTTCTCTGTGGAGGGACCTGTCAGAGACTGAACCAAGATGGGTGCTCACCCTTTTTCTTATTGTTGAAATTATTTTGGAATAATTTTAACTTGAAACAGAGAAGTTGCTGTTCCGGTATTAAGAACTGTAGCCACTGGCACAATTTCTCAAGAAGGATTACGTCTGTGTACTTTTCTGTGAGCAGAGTCAGTAGTTCCTCCAGTTCCTCCAGGGGGACCTACATCTCCAGCAGGCTCTCCCTGATAAAGCACTCAGGGCATGAAAGGTCCTAGTCCCTAGCCACCTCCTGTCCCCAGGGTTTCGACTCTCATTTTGGAGATCTTAAGCCCCTGTAAAGCTGTGGGGCTCCATCTCAGGAACACCCAAGCCAGGGCAGGCTCCCATGAGAATGAAGGGGAATGTTCAGACATGTGTCTCAGAAGTGAGATGCCTGTGATATGGGCCAGCCCTGCCAGGGCATCATGAAACATGGGCCAGGAGTGGCTACATTCATCCATGCCAATGGGTCGAGATGAATGAATGTGCCCTTCAAATTACACAGGGATGCATCCTGTGTGTGGCTTCATGACAATAATGAGTGAATAGTGTGTCCAGGGGTCTGACAATAATGTGTGAATAGTGTGCACATTGCACACCTCTGACCCCAGCAGCTGTGTCAAAGGCGATTTGCTCCACTTATCCTTTTCCTACAGAGAGAAACTTGGTAGAACCAGGGAGAATACAACCAAAATTATCACTTTCTCCCATCAATAGCTTTCCCTCACCTGCCCAATGAACAATACTACATTACTTCAGAAGTTTAAAAAAATTTTGTCCCATTAATCCTGCAATTGCAAAGAATAAAATAAAAGTTTAAAAGAATCAGCAGTTTAGAAAAGAGGGATAAAGTGATATAAATTAAGTAGTAATAATCAAAAACATTCCCAGAGCTTGACTTTAAGTAGCAAGTGCAGAGAATCAGAAAGGGAGAGCAGTTTGCCCAGTCTTCATCAGCCAGATTTGTAATTTCAGGATGTTTTTCTCTTTTGCCCAATATGAACGATTTTAAAATGTGAGAGTGTCCTAAGTGGCTGAGGGTTAATGATTGCTGAAGTGTGCCCTGTGCAAATAGGGAGGCCACAGCAGGCCCAGAGAAGAGCTCCTGGGAAAAGACCACAAAGCTGGATGGCACCTGGTGCAGGGTTGGCCATGGAGGGGCCAGCATGACTCCAGGGGAGAATCTGTTTGAGTGAGTGGTGGGAGGCGATGCTGGATAGGATCGTGGGGCAGATGTTACAAGGATCACAGAGGCAGGGTGAGGGGGACAGTCACGTAGTGGGCAGTGGGAAGAAAGTTTTCAGATGTAGAGTATCAACATGGTAAGAACAGGGCTTTGGGGTCATAAAACTGCTAAGGCAATTGCTAGAGTGGAGATGGCAGAATTGGAGAAAGCAGAGTGCGGGGGGTGTTTGAAACCAAGCATCAGTGATGAGAGTCTGATATAGTATGCTCTCAGGAAGATGAAAGAGAACTAACACATGGAGGCATTTTTAAGAAAACTTAGAGAAACCTTGTAGAAAATGAGGATGTGGAGAGGGGCTTAAACCATTATAGGCAATGGGAAATTCAAAACATCCCAGAACCTTGAAAAGTTTACCACTTTTTGTGTTTTGTCTGCATAATCTCAGTCCCCTTTTTCATGGTTCTTTTTTAAAGCCTCATGGCTCAAACTCTTGCCCTGTTCTTATTTCCCTGTGTGTGGAGAACAGCTCCTACTCTCCTATGCTCTGAGAGCTCTCTAGAACTTTCCCTGTGGGCCACAGGAAGGAGATAAATAATAACAGAATGATTGCCATGACCTTTCTAGACAATCCAAAGCCCTGTGGGCTGAGAAGGGGTTTTTCACTTCAGGGACATTCCAGCCTGAGCACCTGCCCTGTCAGCATCCCCAGGCACAAACAGGAATGGTGACATCACCAGCATTTACATGATGTCTATCTGTGTGGCCCAGGTCACTGGGTGGCTTTACTGAGAGGCAGGGACATCAGGGATGGGTGTCCTGGGTGTGCTTAACAAAGGGAAAACTGAGATTATTCCTACTGAAGCCTCTTCTCCTTTAGGCTTCCACCCAGGCAGCCTGTGCCCAAAGGAATTGGAGTGGAGTCTTCAGCCACCACCTGTCAGAGGTGCAGGCTTCACAAGCACAGCTGCAACCAAGAACCCTGGTGCACAATTGTCTGCAACTACAGCTGGGTCAAGGGTTCAACTGTGGGAATGGCTTAGTCAGGCGGGGCCTTTCCTCCACCACCTGTGGCTTCATAGTCAAGATGATTCTGGGAACCAATGGGCCTTCCAAGATAGGGAAGAAAAGGGGAACAGGAATGTCTAATCCAGATGATGATGGTCATGGTGCTGTGGGTGGAGGAGAGAATGGGGTCTCTCCTTGCTCCCTCAGGGTCAGGTTGAAATCCATGATTTTCCAACCCAATGAGGTGAGCAAGAGCCTGGGGCTTAGGATGTGATATGCTCTGAGGTCTTGGGTTTGCCACTTTCTGCTTTTTCACTTTGGCCAAGGTTTTTGTCTTTTTGCTATTTACATCTCTGTTCCCTGATCTGAGATATCTGAAAAGTACTATTTACCTGCCATCATTATTGAGAATATTAATTATTATAATTTTCAAAGGACCTGGTTCCATAAGATTGACCAATAAACCTATGAATAGGTGTTATCTAATCCTTTTATCCTTCCACCAAATTTACACTTAGAAAGTGACTTCACAGTGTTGTTTCATCTGAGGTAGAGCAATTGTGAAGATCTAGGCTTTCTAGAGACCCCTCTTCCTTTCTTTTCTCACACATACTCCTCTGCCTGTTATCTTTCTCTTCTTTCCCATCCCTCATGAAGCCAATTTTTGCCTATCAGGCACTTTCAGTAACAACCTATGAGGTACGTTCAGTAATAGTGTAAATCCTGGGCGCACAGCCAGTCTCCTGACATGTCCAGCTGCTGCTTCTGCTTTTTCTCTGCTCTTTTTGAAAATGAAGGGCAACTTCCACATGGAAAGTGTTCGCATCAGTGTCTTTTATGAAACTGCATTTAGTTCATCATCTCCACTCATGTCCACGGCCATGTCCTCAGTTTCCATCTCACAGGGATCCACTTCTGCTCAGATTTCCTTAAAACCCTGGGTCGTGTTCATTCTCACTCTCTGTCCCACTCAATATCTCCCCCTGGAGCCCCTGGGGCTGCCTGGTGCTCATCTGTCAGGAGATGCCCTCGGCTGAGGAATGAGGGGACCCTTGTCCTCAGGAGGAGGGAGGGTCATGTGAGATAATGAGCACCATCTGGGTCCGTGGAGAGGACACACAGAAGGCACTCAGCAGGTATCGGGGATACGCAGCACCTGACATGTGCCGTGATATCTTATTTAAACTGATTTCTTCCCACCAGAAAAGAATCTCCTTTGCTTCTCTATGGATTCTCACACCCCCAGCCAAGACTCACCCTACTGGCTCAGACACTGTCTCTTGTTCACTTTCCCTGAAGTCCAGAGCATGAACCAGGCTCTAGGTAAGAGAAAAGGGTGAATGCCTTTAGTCTCATTCATATTTTTCTTCACCTGGTGACTTCTCCCTGCTGTCTAACAGGTCATTTGTTGCTCTCCACACCTTTTCTTTCTCATTCTTCTCATATTTGTAATTTTTTCTTCCAATATCAATGGACCGGAATAGTCATTATCCTGTTACATCCAATATTCCTCTAATCCCTGTATAATATTTTTTAATTAGATTAATATATACATTTATATGCATTGATATTGTTTGTCATATATTATGTGTATTTGGCGCGTAGGCTACATAGGGTGTATATATATCAATAGATCATATATAGTGGTACAAGTTTTGTAAATTCTCCAGGTTTAGTCTTCTCCAGTTATTTTCAGTCATCAGCTGCTGTAACCTCTGTCTGGTCTCACCTCTGTGTCCCAAGGGCTACCACCCTACCAGGCCTTCTGTCCCCATCTCCTGTTTGAACTCAGCTCTGATTTAACTTTCACTTTTATAATCTCTTCCCTCCCCAAAGCACAGCCTATATACAGTGTGATTTCCTTGCTTTCGCCTTATCTACCAGAAAGCTATTTGTGTTTCTTAAATATTTTTGTGAATTGGGAGTGCCTTTACCTCCTGGCAAACTTGTCATTACTGAGTAATGTAAGAAAGATCAACAAAAAAGAAAATATTCTATTGACTTCCTCTTGCCCTTTGGACTTTCTTGTCCAAGGCCACATTCCTGATTTGATGTCCTTTGGGTGGAAGAGAAAGTCACAGTAAGATCACGGATGCTGATGTTTTATTTTTCAGAGCTAGTTTTAGAGCCCTCCGTTGTGATGAAGAACCCTCCACAGCTGGAAGGTGATGCACTTGAAAGCTCAGCAGACAACACACAAGGGTGTCAAATCATTGGCCACATTCAGGCCTCCAGTTGGTCTAGATATTGAGAATATTTCTAGAAATGCCTTAAGGTTTAACCAGGTGTGGAATGAACTTCAGGACATTAGAGAAAATAAGTTGGGTCCTGGTTATGGTCCTCGCTCTGTCTTTGCTAACACCATTTTGAGCCTCTTTTTTAAAAAAATTTTCTTTCTTTCTTTCCTAATGCCCTTTGGAGGAATACTTTTATTTGTTTTTTTCTTTATTTTTTATTTTTAACCAACCAAACAAGCAGCAGTGACATTATATTTCTTTGTAAAACTTATTTCTATCCTAGACAAGATAACCCAACAGCTTCTTGTGACTGTTGAGACCTCCAGATTGAAGCCTTTCCTCTCACTTCCTCCAGTCTTTATTGAAAGGGCCTTAGTTTGTGGGTACTATTTCCTGGGCTGTCAATAGCAAGTTCTGTGGCCTTATTTCAGTCTTACTCCAGTGGCATCACTACTCCTTGGTTTTAAAAGGTGGAAGTGGACGTGGATGTTGTCTGAGGTTCCTGCTGCTTCTTATATCCAGAGTTCTTCCCATGGCACTCCCTCTCCTGCCTAGAAGACTGGGACAGGGAGTTGTAAGGTGGTGAGTCTCTCTGCAAAGGGACCTCTCCTTCTACAGCCCTCAGTGCTTAAGCATGCATGATTGATGCTGAGACATCCTCACTGGGAGGAAAAGCCATCACTCTGTTCCAGACAGAGGGGAACAGGAGGAAAGAGGCTGATGTTCCCGGCTGCTAGTTGGGCATAGATAGGGTCCCTATATCCCGCACCCCAGGCTGGCTAGAAGATCAGGGAAGTTCAGGGGTGTTTTCTTCTCACTTGTGGATGACACTTCCCCATTTAGCCAGCCTAAGGCTCACTCCTCAGCTCATGCTCCTAGAGGAGATCGGTTTGCCCCTGGGGTAGTATCACTCAGCAATCCCTCCAGGCTCAGCCTTCAGGAGGACCTGACAAAAAGGCTCATTTTATTTTTTTCTCTCTCTTTCCTACAGATACCTAATACTGCTGTAAGGATGGAAAGGATGAAAGGATGTCACATAAAAAAGTAGCTTTTCCCCTTGATGAAAAAACTAAAGCAGCATAGTAAGTTCAAGTTTAAACACAACGACACTGCAGGGATCCTTCGCTGAGGATTGAATTTTAGACCACGGAATGCTCTTGATGATTTCAGTCGACTAGGCTTCTTTGATCTGAGAAGCCACAGTCCATCCCCCTCCAATTGTGATGAATACCTAAGGAGATCAATTCCCAGATGGACAAACAGCATTGACAGGCCTTAGCCCAGGTAATCTAAATTCCCATCCTGTAGAGAACAGAGGTCCAGAACCTCTGGCAGCAGACAGCATGTCACCCAGGACTCTGTCAGGGTAGAGTATGAACAATGCCATGTTCTTGCTGAAAATGTTTAGCCTGAATTTCATAGGAGGTAATCTTCAGACAACTGTAGAATGTAGAAATTGAACAGGGCAACTGACCTGTCTCCTTCAAACAGTCCATGTCACCACCAAGAACACAACAAAACAGAAAAGAGATATTTTGGGTTCAAAAAGAGTAAAAAGACTATGTGGCTTATGCTTCTTTAGTCATTTTGAGCCCCAGACATCTTTTTGTCTTTTTGTTGTTTTCATTGATGGTGGTGACACGGACTTGTTTGTAGAGGACAGGTCAGCTGTCTGACTCAAAGTTCTGCATTCTGAAGTCATCTGAAAATATCCTCATGATTAAACTCAGCCTAAACATTTTGCCAGAAACACTGCAGTCAATGCTGTGAACTTCCCACCTCAGCCCATCAGCAGAGAAGGCCCAGTGTGTCCATCCTTATCATTGTGATACTAGGATGGTCACTTGGTTAAGGAGGGGTCTGGGAGCTCTGTTGCTTGTAAAGACACCTTATTTGTAATTAATTTGGAAAGTGGTTTGGGACAGTATAAATATTTTATATTCTAACAATCTTCCTCTGAATATTTTATCATCAATCATCCTTGCCTGGGTCAGTTATTATGTTTACATTCGTACATTGGACATTTTCTTTTTTATTATTATTATACTTTAAATTCTGGGGTACGTGTGCAGGTCTTACAGGATTGTTACATAGGGATACACATGCCATGGTGGTTTGCTGCATTCATCCCTCTGTCACCTATATTAGATATTTCTCCTAATATTATCCCTCCCCAACCCCCATCCTCTGCTATCCCTCCCCCATCCCTCCCCGCTAAAGACCCCAGTGGGTGATGTTCCCCTCCCGGTGTCCATGTGTTCTCATTGCTCAGTACCCACTTATGAGTGATAACATAGGGTGTTTAGTTTTCTGTTTTTGTGTCAGTTTGCTGAGAATGATAGTTTCCAGCTTCATCCATGTCCCTGCAAAGGACATGAATTCATTCTTTTTTATGGCTGCATAGTATTCCACAGTGTATGTGTGCCACATTTTCTTTATCTAGTCTATCACTGATGAACATTTGGGTTGGTTCCAAGTTTTTGCTATTGTAAACAGTGCCACAATGAACATACATGTGCATGTATGTTACAATAGAATGATTTATAATCCTTTGGATATATACCCAGTAATAGGATTTCTGGGTCAAATTGTATTTCTATTTCTAGATTCTTGAGGAATCACATCCGGAATTTCATATCCAGCCAAACTAAGCTTCAAAAGTAAAGGAGAAATAAAATCATTTGCGGACAAGAAATTCTTGAGAGACTTTGTCACCCCAGGCCTGCCTTACAAGAGCTCCTGAAGGAAGCACTAAACATGGAAAGGAACAACCAGAACCAGCACTGCAAAAATGTACCAAATGGTAAAGACCATTGACACAATGAAGAAACTGCGTCAACTAACAAGCAAAACAACCAACTAGTATCCAAATGGCAGGATCAAATTCACCCATAATGATATTAACCTTAAATGTTGCTATTTAATTTAACTTTCAATGTTAATATTTTGATGGGGCTAATTGCTCCAATCAAAAGACAGACTGACAAATTGGATAAAGAGTCAAGACCCATCAGTGTGCTATATTCAGGAGACCCATCACATGTGTAAAGACACACATAGACTCAAAATAAAGGAATGGAGGAAGATTTACCAAGCAAATGGAGAACAAAAAAAAGCAGGAGTTGCAATCCTAATCTCCAATAAAATGAACTTTAAACCAATAAAAATCAAAAGAGACAAAGAAGGGCATTACATAATGGTAAAGGGATCAATGCAACAAGAAGAGCTAACTATTCTAAATATATATGTACCCAATATAGAGGCACCCAGATACATAAATCAAGTTCTTAATGACCTGCAAAGAGACTTAGGCTCCCACACAATAATACTGGGAGACTTTAACAATCCACTGTCAATATTAGACAGATCAACGAGACAGAAAATGAACAAGGATATCCAGGACTTGAACTCAGGTCTGGACCAAGTGGACCTAATAGACATCTACAGAACTCTCCACCCCAAATCTACAGAATATTCATTCTTCTCAGCACCACATTGCACTTACTCTAAAATTGACCACATAATTGGAAGTAAATCAGTCCTCAGCAAATGCAAAAGAATGGAAATCATAACAACCAGTCTCTCAGACCACAGTGCAATCAAATTAGAACTCAGGATTAAGAAACTCACTGGAAACTGCCCAGCTACATGGAAACTGAACAACCTGCTCCTGAATGACTACTGGATAAATAATGAAATGAAGTCAGAAATAGAGATGTTCATCAAAGCCAATGAGAATGAAGACACAACATACCAGAATCTCTGGGACACATTTAAAGCAGTGTCTAGAAAGGAATTTATAGCACAAAATGCCCACATGAGAAATAAGGAAAGATCTAAAATCAACACCCTAATAGCCACAATTAAAAGAACTAGATGAGCAAGGTCAAACAAATTCAAAAGCTAGCAGAAGGCAAGAAATAACTAAGATCAGAGCAGAACTGAAGGAGATAGAGACACAAAAAACCCTTCAAAAAAATCAATGAATCCTGGACATTTTCTTTCTCAAAATTTTACTATATACTTATTTTTGCTGGCATTCTTTGTAACAAAGAATATCCCTGCCCAAATTTTAATGTTTAACCAAAATTAATTTTACTTTGTTTTTGCTGGCGTTCTATTGTGAAAAACACTATTCCCTGCCCCAATCTTAACTTTCATCCAAAATTAATTTTAGTCCATTCGTTAAAATGTGTAAGTTTTTAAATCTGTTTAATTAAAAGGTTTTTTTTGCCTATCCCTCTGGACTAGTGGATTTTTTACATATAATGTTTTAAACTTTTATTATTGTGATTGGTTTTGGTAGATATGAATATAGATTAATAAAAACATTCTTATTTTCCTCTTTATATTCTAACTCTTCCATATTTTAGTCTATATTTACCATATATGGTAGATTGTATTTACTGTATTTCTTCATTGATGTTATTAGTTTTCTTTTTGTGTTTGTGTGTATGTATGTGCCTTTTGTTTGTTATTTAGGAAGGGTTGTATAGCTCCTGTTTAACATTGAACTAAAAAGGTTTTGACATCATGAATCCCCTTTTAACTTGACACACTTCTGCTGTTTGGTTTGTAAATTTTAAATTATATCTTTCAACTTCAAATTTGTACCACTCTGACAATCAAAGACATTGTTTTCCTCTTCTCTAACTTCTTTACCTGCCACTTCTTATTTGTTATTTCAACCCAAACATAAAGTGACAGCCTATGTGTCCCACCTGTTCCCACCTTGGTTTTTGGTTTAAATCTACAATTAAATAGGTTGATGCACATGAGCTGTTCAAAAGTGTGTCTAAAGCATCACTTGTTGAGTGGAATTTATCCTTAACAGAGTCCTCATGAGGGAATCAGGTCTCGCTGAGTTTTGCATGATTAGTGAAATTTTCCTACCGTCTTGATACATGGATAGCTGTGTCTAGAAGGAAATTTATAACACTAAATGCCCACACAAGAAGCGAGGAAAGATCTAAAATGCATATACAGTACTTGCCAAAAATGAGTTTTTCTTGCGATTTTAGGAAATACTGTCTGGTTTTGGGGACAGGCATGCGTGCTCTCATTGTGGGATTCTATTTTTTTCTACCAGGACCTTTCATCTCTGCCAGTTAATTCATTCATTCTCTTCATCACAAGTCTCCAGAGGATGCTTCCTTTGTTGAGGCCTCCCGGGTCCCGGCAATTCTTCTCTTCAAAGATTGGCCCCTCTGGTCCTCTGCACCATGGAGCCGCTACCTTTCAATTCCCCAGTGGCAGGGTTCTGATCCACCAGGTCTCAACCATGTTCTGTGTTTCTCCACACTTGGTGTCTGAAGATGTGTTCTGTCATGTGTTCTGTCATGAACAGACCCTCCCTGCTATGCTGGTCTCTATTTGTATAGTGTTTTCTGCTCCCTCTGCTGTTGTGTGACTCCCAAACCCAGCTAAATAAAATTACCTGAGGTCCACAGTGTTTCCTAGCCCTGGTTGGGGGCAGGATTATGGGTGGTATTTTTGACTCTGTGTTAATGCCTAGGGCTTTGAAGTGTATGTAGAGAAATTCAGCTATTACTCTATCCCACTTCTTCAAATGCAGAATATCGATAGTATAAAAAAGGAGACAGAATCATATACTAAAACATCACCATAATCAGTGGCCAGCTTCAACAATTGTCAACGAATGACTGAGCTTTACAAAAACAATATAACCTTCTTACTTATGAAGTGTGTGTGTATGTGTGTGTGTGTACATATATTTTAATATATGTATATATATGTATATGGCATGTACATATGTGTATGTGTATATATGGATATGCCATATCCATATGTGTACACACACACACACACACACACACACACACATTTGAACATGAGATTCTGGAAACCGAAATTCCCAAATTTGAGCATGAGATTCTGGAAACTGAAATTCCCAAGACAGAAAGCCAGATACCCAGGAAAGTATTTTCTTCTTCTTAGGCCTTTGACTTCTCTGGCCTTTGAGTGTATACCCAGTAATAGGATTGCTGGGTCAAATGGTATTTTTGCCTTTAGATCTTTATATGGCCTTTGGTTGATTGGATGAGACCACTCACCTTAGGGAGGGTATTCTGCTTCACGTAGTCTGCCTATTCCAGTGTTAACGTCATCCATAACCCCACTCCCATACACACCCAGAATAACATAGGAACAAATATTCTGGCAACCTGGGACTCAGTCACAGTGACACACACAATTCACCATCACGCAAGTTCTTTGTCACATTAGTGATTTTCACATTTTTCTCCCAATCTGTAGCTTGTCTTTTTACTCTGTTAATAGTATCTTGTGCTGACTAAGAATTTTTAATTTGTATAAAGTTGAATTAGCCAATGTTTTCTTTAATAGTTTTGTTGATGTGATAACTAAGAATACTTTGCCTAACTCCACATCATGAAGATTTTCTCTTATGCATTCTACTGTAAATTTTCTAGTTTTGCAGTTTACATTCAGTTCTGTAATTAATTTTGATTTAATTGCAGTGAAAGTTTGGAGGTTTAAGTGGATTTTTAAAAATCTTTTTTATTTTTTTCTTCAACTTTTATTTTAAGTTCAGCAGAACATATGCAGGATGTGCAGGTTTGTTACACAGGTAAACATGTACCATGGTGGTTTGCTACACAGATCATCTCATCACCTAGTTATGAAGGCCAACATCTATTAGCTACCCTTCCTGATGCTCTCCCTCTCCTCACCTCCTACCCCTCACTTCTGACAGGCCCCAGTGTGTGTTGTTCCCCCAATGTTTCCATGTGTTCTCATCCCTCAGCTACCACTTATAAATGAAAACATGCTGTGTTTGGTTTTCTGTTCCTGGATTAGTTTGCTGAGGATAATGGCTTCTAACTTCAACCATGTCCCTGCAAAGGATAAAAAGGATATGATTTCATTCCTTTTTATGGCTGCATAGTAGTCCATGATGTATATGTACCACTTTTCTTTATCCAGTTTATCATTGATGGGCAGTTAGGTTGATTCCCTGTCTTTGGTATTGTGAATATTGCCATAATGAACATACATATGCATGTATCTTTATAATAGAATGATTTATATTCCTTTGAGTGTATACCCAGTAATAGGATTGCTGGGTCAAATGGTATTTTTGCCTTTAGATCTTTGAGGAATTGCCACACTATCTCTAACAAAGGTTGTACTAACTTACACTCCCACCAACCATATAAAAGTGTTATTTTTCTCCATAACCTTGCTAGCATTGGTTGTGGATTTTTTTTCTTTTCTTTTTTTGGCTTATGGTTATCCGTTTTTTCCAATACAGTTTGTGGACATGAGAATGCTTTCTCTGCAGAACTGTTTTGGACATTTGTTCGTCCATTGGAGGGATGAGACTGGAGAGAGGACTGTCCTGATCATTGGAGGGATAGGGCCTGAAGTAGGGGAGTCTTATGGAAACGAAAAGAATGCAGACTTTTTAATGCCTGCAGTATAGTAGAGTGATCTATTAATATACCTGACAACATGGCTACATCTCAAAATAATTATTCTGAATGAAAAAAATAAACCAAAATACCGAAATGTATAAATATATAAACCAAAAATGCATACATAGTGTATAATTCCATTTATAGAAAACTTTAGAAAATTTAAATTAATCTATTATGACAGAACACCAACCAGTGGCTGTCTGTGGGTAAGAAAGGTGAAGGAGGAGTTACTATGAACACAAGGACACTTTGGAAGTGGTAGATGTATCCACTATCTTTTTTTTTTTCTTAGACAAGGTGTTGTTCTGTCACCCAGACTGGAGTGCAGAGGCACAATCTTGGCTAAATGCAACTTCTGTCTCCTGGGCTGAAACCATCCTCCCAACTCATCCTCCAAAGTAGCTGGGACTATAGGCACATTATGCCATGCCTGACTTATTTTCTGTTGTTTTTTTTTTAAGATCTGGTTTCACCATGTTTCCCACATTTGTTTTCAACTCCCGAGATCAAGTAATCCACCTGCCTTGGCCTCCCAAAGTGTTGAGATTACAGGCATGAGCCACTGTGCTCAGCCTATATTTACTATCTTGATTACAGATGTACACTTACATTGAAGCTTTTAAATTTATACAGTTTAATTATGTGCAAATTTGCATGTAAGTTATATCTCAATATAGTTGTAAAAACAGTATAAATTATTTAAAAACTGTCACAGCTTGATTCCATAAATCTTTTTTATATTTTCCAAAAACCCAATGTAATCTCTACATTATCAGTACAAAAGAGAAAGACTGTATGATTACCTTGACATACGCAGAAAAAGCATTTGGTAAAATTGAAAACTTTTTAAATGATCTGTGACACATGAAATACACGAATACATATAATGCAGCAGGTACAAAGCTCCTAAAAGCTGTTGGTGAGAGAAATTAAAGTAGACTAAATAGAGAACTATATATATTATGTTCATGAATTGGAAGACTCAATTTTGTGAGGATATCAAATCAACATAATTCTGATTAATATTTCTAATAGGAACTTTTAGAGAAATTTAAAAGCCAATTTCAAAATGTATTTGAAAATCAAATAATCTAGAATAAGCAAGTTGGTCTTGAAAAAGTAGGTGGACTTACTCTGCTGTATTTCAAAACTCATTTTAGAGTTACAATAATTTTAAAACTATGGCCAGGAGAGGTGGCTCATGCGCTCAACCTCAGAACTTGGGGAGGCTGAGGCAGGTGAATCACAAGGTCAAGTAATCCAGACCATCCTGGTCAACATGATGAAACCTCGTCTCTGCTAAAAATAGAAAAATTAGCTGGTCGTGTTGGTGCATGCATGTAGTCTCAGCTACTCTGGAGGCTGAGGGAAGAGAATCGCTTGGACTGGTAGGCAGAGGTTGCAGAAAAAATAAATAAATAAAAATAAAAACTATGGTACAAGTGTAAGTATACATAAATATATCAAAGTAAAAGAATACAGATTCAAACAATATGCACACATATGTACAGTTATGTAAATTTTTTAAAAACAAAGACACCAATGCCCTTCATCCGGGAAGTGAAAGACTTTTCAAAAGAAAATTCTTGAGTGGAATAATATTTCCTATTTTAAAATTAATAGTAACAACCACTTTCTACCATACACTTAAATTAAGATGTGAATGTTAAAATTAGAAACCTTGTAAAGGAAAAATGGAAATTATTTTCATGAACTTGACATAGGAAATTATTTCTTAGACTAGATATTGTAGCACTCACCTCAATAAGAAATCAAT